AAAAATAGGTCTCATGAGCCTCTCCTGAATCCTATTCGCTGCCTATTAGGCTTGAGAACTGCACATCAGCCTGTCAGAATCATGGCACTGCTTCCGAACCCGGGACTTCCCTGGCCCTTTCCAATCCACTAATAGATATCAAAGAACTTGCTGTGGTAAGTCGAGGAACCCAGCTGGCTCTGTCACCGCCACCGTAGAGCCCCGCCGCCCGTTGACGAGGTTCAATGGCACATCCTCCCACGTGACTAGTGGCTGCGGAGTACCTACCAAAGTCGGGGACGTTTTGTTGGGCCATCAGGCTAGCCACACAGCGAGTTCGGACTAGGAAGTATAGAGGTATAGATGTACAGTACGTATTACTCCAGAGGACAGAGGACATAGGTAGTCTGTAATTGGGACGGCGAGATACTGTGCGCATTGCCTCGGCGCTGCTACTCGAAGGGGACCTCATCGGCATCAGCTTTGTCAGCCTCAGCCTCGTCCGCCAATCGAGGACACCCCTACACGTTGAAAAGAGTGCGCGCACAGAGAGAGAACATCGAAGTGCAAACTTGTATTGTCATTTCCCATCGCGCGATAAGAGCGCGCGCGTAATATTCGGATTCCCATCGATGTCCAATGACTCGAGACAAAAGTTTGCATAGATGCCATGCAAAAGCAGAGAGACCGAAAACCCGCACACATATCTCACACAAAACTCCAGCTCGGAACCTTTGTCGACCCATGTGTGTGCCATTTACCTTCACACCATCCCCCTTGACGTCTCCCATGTCCGAAATTCAACAGTATCCCGAAAAATGCTGCTTCACATAACGTCTAGACCCCTTCCAATTCGTCGACGTAAACCTCAACCCCAGCAGTATACCCTCGAAAATCCGTCGGACCGTGTCTGAACGAACCCCTACTTCTTCGACGAGGGTCCAAAGTCGGCTTCCACAGCTTTCTGGGCGTTCCGCTGCTTCTCGACCTTGAACTGGGCGACGATTGCAATGTGGTCACTGGGGAAGTGGAAGTTCGGGAACCCAGGCACCCGCTTCAGATATTCTGGGTCGATAGCCCCAAGTAACCCAACCACTCGTAAAGAGTTGCTCGAGTACCAAATGTAGTCCAAGACGTCGACAAAGTTTGGCGTGTAATTCGTGAATGGCATTTCCCCGTCAATTGCAGCATAAGAAGACTTGAGCGTAAAATTGTGCGACATCCCCGCACGGGAGAAGGCCCCGTAGTCTCGTCCATCCAAATCGGCGTGTTCGGCATTCAGGCCTTTCTTCGTGAACAGGTCGTAGACCGCAGATCCTGCTCCCGAGTTGAAGTCTCCACAGATGATCATGGGGATCTGTGGTCCTGACGTGTATGACAATGACGGCCCAGGGTCAGGAAGCGGTTCATCCTCTGAATCCGAAAAGCGGAAGGCCTGCTTGTTGGTGGCCGGCGGGAATTTGGAGTACTTGTCCGTGAGCTTTGACAACTCCTCCATAAGGACAGCCGCTTGGATCAATTTCACGTCTTTGTATGCAGGATCCCAGTAGATGTGGGCATTGACGACAACCACACGAGAACCAGTGACACGGTTCTCCAGGAACACAACTGTCGCGATATCATCTCTCTGCCAGACGCGGTTCAGCATGTCCGCCGACGCTTTAGCGCCAGGTCGCTCCACCGCCTTTCTTCCAAGAACAAGATGTTGAGTGTCGAGTACCACATACTTCTTGTCTTTCCAAAACGTGCCACATCCGTCGACAAACTTAGCAGCGTCACCCAGCGTCTCCGCGCGGCTTTTCTGTGCATAATATCCCTTGTAGCCCGATATCGAGAGTTCGCCACGAAAATAGTCGTCGTAACTGCAGCGGTCAAGTTCCTGGAGGCAGACAATATCGGCGTTCATTTCCCGAATCTCTTCAAGGATCAGAGTCTTGCGGAAGCCCCAGGTAAGGACGCGCTCTGGAACGTAGCCATACTGCTGCTGCGTTGCATAGCGGTCGCATAGGATGTTGTAATTCAGTGCTTTGATCGTGTCCTGCGTAGGGTCATTTTCGTCGATTTCCTCAATTTGATGCCATTCTCTTTCTCGAGGAGGTGGAGGTTCTGACGCACAGTTAGCAGCAGACCATAGAAAAGAGGTATTTGGCACAAACCCGGCATGCTTTCGCGGAGATATTCAATCAGTTTCCTCGTACCGCCCTCCGTGATCTTGTCACGCTGCCCTTGCTCCAGTGGATTTCCATAGATGCCAAGCACCTCCAATTTGTACAAGAAGCCGAGTTCATAACACAGGGTTTGAATGTGGTTATTGAACAGGAGGAGTTGTTTGAGATTCGTGAGCATGCCAATCTCTTCTGGCAATTCCGTCAGTTGATTAAAAGAGACATCCAGATGCTCGAGGTTCTTTAACTGTCCGATCTCCGGCGGCAACGCTTCTAGCTGATTATATACAAGGTCGAGGCGTTTCAAGAAATGGTAGGACGGGTTGAATAGCACAGGCGAAAGCGCACAAAGACCCTGCCCACCTAGATCTAATTCATCCCAGGTTTGCCTGCTAGAGGTCTGTCCATTTGATGTGGTCGTCCGAGCGTTGTCTGTCGGAAGGTCTTCTGCAGCCGCACCTAACGGGACGTAGTTGACACCCTTAGAGTGATGCGCCACGGTGCGCGCTCGCTGATTTGGACCGTTCAGATCTTTGCTTTCTTCCCAAACCTGCTTTTGCTCCCTCCAATATTCATTGTCCGGCTCGTCCACATCGTCGTGCGGCAGTCCATTACCATTTCCGTTGGGCAGGTGCTCGTGGGCGTAGGTGGGCAAATGAGGTGTACCGGATTGAAAGCCGCCCGAAAGATTGTGCTGGTGCCCTAATTGCCCGCCATGATGGTGCTGACCGTGATGTTGAGTGACGTTGTGATGGCCATGGTGAGGTGGCTGGTATTTTGGCAGGTGGAGGTTCGCATACCGCTGATGGCCTTGCGCCCCATTCATGAGACTGTGCTGCGTCTGATATCCATTCTGGGAGTACATATTGAAGTTGTGCCCGACAGAATGGCCCACAGGCGATCTCGATGGAGAAGGAGTGTCGTTGGAAAAAGGTCTGCGTGCGCCAGAAGGCGAGGTGGCTCGATTCTGATTTCGATGCGAAGTGTGTTGGGTGGGGTAATACTGCCCGGCTCCAGGCTGATGGAACCGGAATGCACCATCTGCCATCTAACGCGGCAGAGCGGTATGGATTGTGTCTGTGTCTGCTTGTGAAGCGGAAGCGCGATGGGATGGAGGCGGAGGGGCTGGGACGACTCGGGGCGTTATGGAAGGTCGAACGGAGGGCAAGCAAAATCTTCGTTTCTTCAACATGAGATCCGGCGAGGGACTCAACGCCAACTGACAGGTTGTCGCGACGCGGAGGGTCAGGGTAACCGGCACCGGAGCGTTCGACGGGGAAAATGAGGAAGCAGTGATTTGGTAAAGGGTAAAGGTTGAGCAGCGGGAAGCTTGAGGACAGATCGTGAAGCTGCAGACGGGAATGCAGCAGGTTGATGTCACGCCGGCACTGCAAGGTACTGTTTGTGGTTCACTGATTGGATATTGAGTTGAGATACGGCACAGATATCAATGAAGATGTGAATGAGCGAGTGTCAAAGGTGGTTGACTTGCGCAGGAGAGGGCCGTAAGGGTGGGATAGGACTTAGACTGCATCTGTGCAGTGTGCACCTCTGCCACCTGACTGGAGGCTTTGACTCGGTACTAAGTGAGCGGCCCCTGTGCTCCTCAGCAGGTCTTGGCATTGTTTCAGCGTTTGTCCGCCATTCCCCTTTGTTCCCTTCAGCCTGATACACTAGATCTTCAATATTGACCACACACTGCGTGTTGGGCCTGTCCCCGTCTGTTCACCGCCTTCTACGAGACAAGAACCCACTTGTATACAGAACAGCTCAAACTAATCCTTGAAAGCCACCCTAAATCGCCCCCTTCACCCCGCGGAAATTCGCTATCTTCATCGACCTCTCATGCACACACAAGTAATGCCGACACAAATCGCCACAAGGGTTACGGAGCTCTCCGAGACCCGCCTTCGATGCTGAGTGACTTAGCCTGGATGCGCCTTGTGAATTCACCCTCGACCTTCCTAGAACCGTGGGCCGCCCCGGTTCTGGAGCCATCCGATATGTGCATTCACCTTGAATATCCTGGTAGCAGATTTTGAAGAAAGTTTGGCCCTTTTGGCGAGCTTCTGTGTGGATTGTGGCGTGACGTTAAGTTTGGCTGAGCGACTCTCTGCTGTTCTGGGGGAGCTGTCCTGTCGGGCACTGTTTATGACTGCAGATCCTCCACGCGGCTCCATTGGACTCCTCTCAGGGAAAACCCATGGACGCTGAATTCGTTTAGGAATACCGTTGCTTCATTGAGCGGTATTTTTTCAGGAAGTAGAGCGCCTCGATCTCCTTCTTCACAAACTCCGCACGCTTGATACCTTGACGAATCTGCTCCTCATCCACCAGATGAGCTTTAGACATAAATGCCTTGTGCAACCTGGGTCGGAAATAGTCGTATCCCAGCGGGTAGTGTTTGCCCATCTCCAATAGCTCTGAGAGTGACCTCAGCACATGTTCTTGGCCCGATGGACGAGTATGGTTTGGATGGTTCTCGTACCTTTGTATATGCCTATCACCTGCCTTCTGAGTTCTGGATTCATTCTGTCTCAATTTATTGTGTAATAGAAACCCATGATTAGGCTCGCAGGTATTATGGTATGTTTGAAAGCCTAGGCACGGATGATGTTGGGATGCCGTGACGTCGAAAAGCGAGCGCCAAGACACGAGCCGACCAACCTTCGCACCATCCAAGACCACTTCATCTCTTGGTGTCAATGAGCTTAGTCCCAACTCCTAATCTATTTCGGAATCGATCCTCAACTTCTCAGTAAGATCTTCTACCACAGCTAAACACCAAGTTGCGCACCTGCCACAACTCTCAGCAATCGCGGTAGAGTCTAAAATCTTTTCAGGGTATAGAGTTCCTCAGATCGGAACGAAAGGGACCACGAGGTGACTATCATATTGACCCCCAAAGTGCAGAGTATGTTTTCCCTTGTTTCCTGTATGGAACTGCCCCCGTAATGGAGTAAATTCCGCAAGCGTCATCTGATGGCCAGCGACCCTAAAGATCAGCTTTTCACCGGCCTCAAATTGAATCGCTGCCGGCCATATTCCGATCTCCAACTTCACTATGTGACCCGGCGGAATCTTCTGTTCCTGCGTGTGGTCATGGGCAGGCCAATGCGGTTTGGATAGTTTCGAGTCGAGGGCACGATGGCTCGCCCTCAAAATACCAGAGGGGCCAATATATTTCAAGCTGTTGATATCTTGGACCTCTTCCTCGGATGTCACGCCGAGCTCGTTTAGTGGAATGTTGATGTTCTGCAGGATCTTCCCATTTTTGTCCCCTTTGCGGATGATCACGAAGATGTCCATGTCATCGTGGTCGGTACATGACATGTATAGGATCGCCTTCGACGGGCCGACGATCGTGGACTTTTCAGCGAAAGAATAGATAAACTCCACGAACTCGGGGTCGTTGTCAACCTGTGCAGCGGGGGCATCGGACTGATACGAAACTTCGCCCTTTTCAGCGGTTCTGTACATGTCTTTTAGGGACTGTCCCCCTGAAAGCCATAGTGTTTTATACTGGGTCTGAGGGATCGGCCATGTCGAGAAAGGGACGTTTTTGATCGGCGGCTAATATAAGGTATCTAAGTCATGTTTCTTTCACTCCTGGGGGACCTTACACTGACCTGATTATAGCGAATCACGGAGATTCGAGCCTTTGGGGTCTCCTCCCAATTGTTTTTGATACCTCTCGTGTAGAAATCCAGGAATTTCTTCAAATCATCCGTGGTCTCCTTCTGGTATAAGTCGTGCCATTCCTGGGTTGGATGCAAGCGGAGCCTATGTCAAGCAATTTGTCAGTCTTGCAAGGTCTTGCAGTTAACAACATTATGAAGACTTTGCTAACCATTTCTTGTTATGTGGTATGTCTTCAAACCCCCGGATCGAGCCAACAGTATGCAGGCCAGTTGACATGCTGGTAAGTATGTACGCAGGAACATTGATCAAGTCCACCTTCGCCCGTTTATCCTCCCAATATGCGTTCATGAATGGATACTTATCCAGCATTGCGATGGGGTCCTCCTGCAGATTTTCACCTAAAAGCACGAAAAAGCTTCAGCGGTGTTCTTCAGCCTTTTATGAGCCCGTATTCGCACTCACCATATAGGCCATGATCTCTCAAGAAGTGCCAGAACGGCAGATATGGAACCCCGCCACGGCAGAGAGATTCACGGTACATGTCGCTCAAGCCTTCCAATGGCAGAATGCAGCTCAGATGTGGGGGTCTCTCTGCCGCAATGTACCACTGGGCCATGGCTAACCAAGAGACACCGATCAAAGCAACATAGCCATTACACCAAGGTAAGCTAGCTATGAATTCGACAGCATCATATCCATCCCTTCCCTCGGCAGTTCCGTTCCACCTGAGACCGTCAGCGTGGGAAGCGACCGGGAGAAACGAAAAGTGCAAACCTCTGGTTGCCTTCAGATTTGAAGATACCCCTCGTATCGACATTGACTACGGCGTATCCGTGTGCGGTCCACTCGGCAGGATCTGGCGCCTCGAAAGACTCAAAGCCGGAAAGCATGCTTTTCGGGATGCCGACTCGACCTGGAACGAGATCCAGCCCTAGAAAACCTGCACGAGAATGCGACACAAGTGAGTGGTTAGCCCCCGACAACAGCTGGGGTGCCACATGGCCGCACGGGCTCTTACCTGTTCCAGACTTCCCGTACGGACTCCAAGCTATCAATGCAGGGATCTTCTCGTTGACATCTGCCGGCCGAAACACATCGGCACGAAGGATTATCCCATCTCGCATCGGCACCTCAACATCTCGATCCCAAATCGTTGCAACTTCAAAGCCTCGACGAGAAGGGTCCTTCTTGTAACCCTTAGGCAACGTGGTCGATGATGGGCTCAGGCCGTTGTAATTCGCATGAGGGTCATCGATGGGCGAGATCTTCTTTTGTGCGACGTCGATACCTCCAACGGAGAAGACCTCTCTAGATGAGGCCATGTCGTACTTGGGAGGTCAGGAATGTATGTGGGATATCGTTGCACTCGTGCAAAATTGACCTTTGTGTAGACTGGGCGTGAGACACAACAAGGCAGGCAGCTGAATGGGTGTATTTATCGTTGTACTCAGGACCCGCCCTGGATATGTCTGATTCTGCGAAGGGGATCTCTGAGTCGTCCGTCGTCCGTCGAAACTGGACGGGTATCATTCCTTCTCGCGTATGGCAGGAATTCGGCCGGTCGCGGGCCGTCAGCATGCCAGTGAGATATTTGGTGGCTGTCACATTGGGTACCTTACCTCACTCTTCAAATCAATACTCACTCGATTCCAAAGACGAACCATTCGACAAGCCAGTACTAGTATCCCTGCTTGTTCGAAACCTTGCCTTCATCGGGTTTAGCAAGACATGTTAAAATCCACCACCTATTCCGAAGTACTGTGCGAGGCTCGGAGCACACAATAGCACACGATTTCGAGACGCCCATGTCTCGAACGAATCCAATACGAGGATGACGAACAGCCCGTCGACGCCTAACGTCTGCAACCGTCGAGGTGCTAGCTAGCTAGGCGGAGCCATCGCTATTTGTGGCTGTGGAAATGTCATCAACACGAAACAGTACGAGTCTTTGATGTGATTGAGAAAGGCGCATGGATTCTCAGTTAGTGAAGAGGGGTAAGGCCATGTTCGCAATCTCGGCCGTTGGGACGAAGCCGGCGAGGCTGAAGGGGTTGCTCGCTGGGCAGCTTGGGCCGAAAGGCCGAAATTGGGGGGAGCATTTGCCCTGCCGGGGCATTTTGACAGTAATCAAGAGCACTGCTACGTGACTACTTGAACTTTAGTTGATGAATGGGATGCCTGAGGTGAGAAACAAATGCACATTATTTCCTGTCTGTGATGACGGTGATGAGGCTGGATCTGAAAGGGGGTCTTTGTTTTTCTTTACGAGGCTCACTTTGGATATACACGGACTACGCTGCCAAGTACATACCGGCATGGACTCAACAAAGACACCCTGTTAATAGTATCCTGAGCGCGTTGACGGCCTCGTCTGACGGAGAAAGCCATGCATTATCAGGCCCATATTACAGAGTTTGCGGGCTGGACGTCAAGGGCGAACAACGTGACATTTTGTTGGACATTGCACCTCACCCGGATTGTGGTAGCGTTCACATCACACCATGACTTTGCGGTATGGCAACGTCTTGACCGAGACCTGGTCGAGGATGCTAGAAGACTGGCAATGTGGTGCTATGCATCCTAACAAGTATATATTTTACAATCGCTCTGACAATCCATCGTGGTTGGGGCAACGCGAAGAAGGAGCCTGATTAAAGATGGAGCAGGCAGCAGTTTGAGAAGCAGCACCGACTGACGATAGTTGTAGAGCCAAAGGAGGAGTCAATAGTACCAAGTACAAGTACTTGGTAGAATGGAAGAGTCCTCGCCCATCCTCCACTCGTGTTAAAGCCGCACACGGCCGAGAATCACAATGGAAAGCCGAAGAGCCATGCGCTCGAAAAGTGTTGGCGGCTTCTGTCTTCCCTGTTGAGTGTCGTGTGTTTTTGATTGCGTGGCCTTCCATACTTCAACATCAGCTGGTGCACAGAGTAGGAGGAGGGCAGAGAAGAATGCGTCCGAGACATTGGGGCAAAGAGAACAGTAGGCTGTACGAGTACGAGGATGCGGAGACTTTTGTGCTTGGTAGGTGGATGGCGCTCCAGTGCCCTGTTCTGGTCAAGACGCGGGGATTAGTATTCATAGCATCTTTGAAGCCGATATCTCGACGAAAGAGGGAAGTCAAACAAAAGGGCGTTCAGTGTTGACGCGTCTTCAACGATATGCGAGGTTTGTAGCGCCGAAGATCGGTGCAAGGCCAAAGGGGAAAAAAGATTTAACCGTAACGAGATGATTGTTTGGTGGGAGAAAGAACAGGAAAGAATCCGAGACCTTTTGTGTTTTCATCCTTGTAAACATTGAATGTAGCCGAATAAATGGCGCAGGGCTTAACGCCGAGCACATTCCAGCCATGGCACACCAACCACGAGACGCCAGACGCGAGATGCTTGGTAAGGAAGGGACCAAGCCACCAGCCACTGAGTGATCGTCTCCCACACTGTGCACACAATGCACACCATGCACACCGTGCTAGCGAGCGGCAAACACGGCCTCGTGCTGCAGGTCCTTCTGGTCCTTCCACGCCTCAGAATGACGTCGGCGATATCGGAATGCGCTATCCACGCCATTGCATAAAATCACCCAACATCCCATCGCCCCATAGCGACAATGGCCACCAAACCAAATAAAAGAATACCAGAGACTAACCATGGCCAATTTGCACGTGCGAGACCATGCCATGTCGCCCACAGAGACCTTGACGTCGGATCTGTCCCGCGAGACCACCAGCTCAGATTATGGGGACATGGACGTCGACGAGGAAAAGTCCCAGGAGAGCCGGCGCGCTGCTTCCATCGCGACAGGCCGCTCGGCCAGCCTCAACAGGACAATAACGCGGAGAGAGACCATCTTGTCGCGCATCAGATCCCGGCCGCCCATAGGCACTTTCACCCATCCGCTAGAGCATCAGAAGACGACGGTGGAGGACTTGGTTGATTTCGACGGCGCCGATGACCCCTACAGGCCTGTGAACTGGAGTATGAAGAAGAAGGTCGTCACCACTGCCTTATACGGCTTTACCACCATGACCGCCACCTGGGCCAGCAGCGGATACAGTCCAGGAACACAGCAGGTGGCTCATGATTTCCATGTTGGAACCCAGGTGTCGACGCTGGGCACGACTCTTTTCCTGTTTGGATTCGGCATCGGACCTTTGCTTTGGGCACCGCTCTCGGAGGTCTATGGCCGAAAGAATGCTGTCCTCCCGCCCATGTTTGTTGCTGCGTGTTTCTCATTTGGGACTGGTGCAGCCAAAGACATCCAAACCATCTTGATAACGAGATTTTTTGCTGGCTTCTTTGCTTCAGCACCTGTCACTAACACTGGGGGCGTTTTGAGTGATTTGTTCCCGGCGTCTCAGAGAGGTATTGCTATCGCTTCCTACGCCATGGCCGTGGTCATCGGCCCAGTGTTTGGACCCATTGTTGGCGCCGCTCTGGTAGTCCAACCCAGTCTTCGATGGCGTTGGACTGAGTACCTCACGGGAATTCTGCAGCTCTTGGTCTTGGTCTTCGACGTCGTCTTCCTGGATGAATCATATCCTCCCCGGCTTCTGATATATAAGGCGCGACGTCTCCGGCACCAAAGTGGAAATTGGGCCCTCCATGCGAAATTCGAGGAATGGGATGTGTCCGTCATGGAGTTGGCGAATAAGGTGAGCCAGGCTTGGTCGATTTTCGAGACATGGTTATGCTGACCGACTGCAGTTCTTGGTTCGACCATTCCAGCTGTTGATGACCCCTATCTGCGCACTTGTGGCTCTGTATGCAAGTTTCTGCTACGGGATTTTGTATATGCAACTTGGTAAGCACCTCGTTTTCTTCAGCTCTCTCATGAAGACTTACCTTGGGTGTAGGTGCCATCCCGATTATCTTTGGCGAACACCGCCATTGGAAACTGTTCCCTTCAGAACTTCCATTCCTGGCAACTCTCCTCGGATCCATTACTGGCGCCGTCGTCAATGTTTTCAACCAACTGGTGTATAACCACAAATCTGGAGGCAAGGTAGCCCCCGAGTTGCGTCTGCCACCGATGATGTTCGGATCTTTCCTTTTCGCATCAGGGCTCTTCATCACTGGGTGGACGGCTGACCCGAAATATCCATGGATTGCCCCTGTCATTGGGTTATATTTGACCGGTCTCGGGTTCTTTACTATATTCCAAGCGGCGCTGAACTACCTCGTCGACACATTTCAAAAATACGCCGCCAGTGCAGTGGCAGCTAACACATTTTTGCGATCTTGCTTTGCCGCAGCGTACGTGCCCCCCATTTTATGATTCCGGGTTGTCAACCGGCCGCTGATGTGAGGACAGATTTCCGCTCATCGTGACTCCGCTGTACCATAACGTTGGAATCCCCTGGGGGACCAGCATCTTTGGTTTCTTTGCCGTCGCACTAATACCCGTACCCTTTGTCTTTTTTGTTTTTGGCAAGCGGATAAGAGCGAAGAGTAAATGGAGCAGGTTCTAAATTTTGCGAGATTGAATAAGAGACCTGGGTAGCGTTTCAAGATTGGCTGGAGATATTATCCTCGTTAACAATTGAACACGAGTTGATCTGTGGAGGCCTAAAAGGGGGGCTTAGGTGCCAAACTTTGGGCCGATCCGATGATACTATTTTGTACAGCACATTAGCTAAAGTTATACGTGGCTACATGTACCTAGTAAACTAGAGGCTCCGCGGTGCCCACGAGACGCGAGACGCCAAAAAGCTTGACTTGGCCTGCCTTTTTCTCCTCATCGGCAGCTCGCATTTGTCATTATTCTTGGTTGCCTTTGCAACTCTGGAACCATGGAATGAGTAAGTTTTCAGGCTCGTCTCCAACATCACTAACAGCTGATTTCAACGCTGGCACCAGCCAGCCTCACTGATGAAGACTTGGACTAAGATACGGGGCCCAGGAGAGTGTCCATCTGGAGGGATGATTTCGTCATCCGGATGGCTGGATCACGGCAACTTACGGTCATTGCCTAGCTAGGTACCTACACAGCTACCTGCCTAGGTAAGAGTCTGGCACCCATTGAAGTTCGTCAATCCTCGCTTTCTTCTGCTCCCTACTTATTGTTTATCACATCTTTGTGTGGACGGCCCTCGATTCGATACGTATGTGATTATTGGGCTCTAGATGTCGTCAGAAAGCCTCCAGCTTGTCGCATGGATCAGCAGTGCAGATTGATTGCACCCGCGATGCAACCCGCGTCCAGGCTGCAGCATTTCTTCTGGACGAGAAATAATACCTCTGGAACCCCCTCCTTAGTTACTTGTCAGGCATCCTCAATTTCCCCCTTGACACCCAAGGTTTCACTCTTGCTTGCTTGACTCTCT